TACCCGTGGCATCGACATTCAAGCAGTTAATGTTGTGATTAATTTTGATTTTCCAAAATTAAGTGAAACTTATTTGTAAGTAAAAAAATTCAAAATATTATTTAGAAAATTCTGTTTTTTTTCTATCTCTTTATAATAGACATCGTATTGGTCGTTCAGGTCGTTTTGGTCATTATGGTATTGCTATTAGTCTAATAACATATGAAGATCGTTTTTCATTACATAAAATCGAACAAGAATTAGGTACAGAAATTCAACCAATACCAAAACAAATAGATCCATCACTTTATGTTGCTGAATATCAAATGAGTGGAGATAATCCTGGTGATAAGCAACAAGAAAATAATGCATCTGCTAATAATAATTCATAAACTTCAAAATAAAAAGAAATCACAACAAAGAACACAGTCGATGTTGTACAGTTTTTTTTTTCATTTTCTGAATTTTTTTTTCTCTCCTTCTTTTTTTGTTTTGCTTCCGGTGCACAAATTGCATCTGTCATTGCCAGCAAAAATCCAACTATAAGAAACTTTTGGCTAACAACTCTTCTGTCTTTTTTTTGTCTTCTCTTTAACTACAAATCTTTTATTTCGTTGTTCACTTTTTTTTCTCCGTTGTCTTTTGTCTTGTTTATTTCTTCTTTATATACGTTTGTCTTTTTTTTTCTCTTCTCCTTATTTTCTCACAGCTGTTATTCGACATTCGCGTAGATTTGTGAGATTACCCATTTGGTACAAACAAAATAAATCAATTCTATTGTACTTTTCGTTTTCTTTCTTTTTTTTCTTTTTTGTTTCCTGATTTTCTTTATCTGCAGTACTTTTCATTGCGATCTCATCTTTATTTACCGAAACAAAAAATAGTTTTCTCGTGTTATCGCCAATCTTTCGGTAAATTTTCTTCCTTCATTTGTTCCTTCATCATTTTTTGTTTTGCATTGTCTCTTCGTTTTCATTCTATTTCTCTGTATGTGTCTGTGTTTCAAGTCTTTATTGTCTTTTTTGTTTTTGTTCTATGTACCATTTCTCTGCACGCAAGTGAATGTGTGTGTTGGTATCGGATGAGTAAAAAAGAATGTATTTAAATACGTTTTTTTTTAATTCCCGTTCTCTCATATGAAAGTATAAAATAATAAGAATCTGTCTTCTTTTTCACTGCGTTGCATGTGTTTTTAAACTCTATTATCTGTAAGACACACACATATATATATATATAGATATTACATGTATTTTCTTTCTCTCTCCGTTTTTGATACTTAAATGTGTATGTTTACGAATCTTGTATGGTTTTTTGATGTTTGATATGAGAGTTAAGAGTGTTTAATAGCAACATGAGAAAATACGAAATTTGTATCATCAAAAAAAAAGAAAATAATATTTAAAAAAATAATATGAAAATAAGAAAAGAAACAACAATAAATATATGAAACATCCATCTTGAAGATGATAACATCATAAATTAATCTTTTTTTCCTCTTCATTCATTCATTCATTTGATCATATTTATGCTTTACCTTTTAGAATATGACTGCTAAACCATTGTTCAATATCAGTATGTATTTAATAATATTCTATGAGTGATATAATGATAAGTATTTTTAGACGAACCAGTATTTGCCTTGCATCAAGGAAAAACTTACAAGGCTAAGGTTAGTATTAGTGATTTTCTTATTATTGAACAATGGAGTGTAGAAAGTTACTAGATGAATGATACAAAATACTAGCATGCAAAATCTTTAAGATAAAAAGATCGGATTATAATAAAAAGTTAAAAACAAACAAATCTATTAATTTGTATAGATTCTTGAATCAAAACTTGATGAAGAAATCAACGAATGGCAGTACTATATTCACTACGATGGCTGGAATAAAAAGTACATATATATGCTCGAATCATTTTCTTTAATCATATTATATTTTCATTTATTTAGATGGGATACATGGGCACAAGCAGATGTTTTACAAAAACGTACAGAGAAAACTGAAGAAATATTCAATAAAATGAATGCGACAACGTAAAAGCATTGAAGCAAAAATATGACTTCTTATCTTTTTTTTTTCTTTTATATTCATATAGAAAAAAATCTGATTCGAAAAGATCGAGTAATAATAAATCAAATAGTAAACGTCCAACGGCATTACAAACTGATATTACTTCACAAATACAATTAAATACGGCAGATGATAGTCATGATTCATCATCAACAACAGCTACTTCAAGTAATTTCTATTTTATAATATTTGTAAAAAAATAAAGAAAGTAAATGTTTCTAGAAGAAAATAATAAACGGTCAAGAAAACGACAACGTACGGATTCAGTTGAGAAATTAAAAACATACGAAAATAAAATTGTCATTGAAATTAAATTACCTGATGAAATCAAATTTTGTCTTTCACGTGATTGGCATTTAATTAATAATGAACATAAAGTAAAAAAAACCTTTTCTATTTGCTAAATTAATATATAAAAATGAATTTTAATTTTAGCTTTTAACAATTCCATGTCAACCTACTGTTGAAGAAATCGCTAATCTCTATAAACAATCAAAATCAAACAAACAAAAACCATTTGAAACGTAAGACAAAGATTATCAGTATGAATTCTATTAGCAAGTCACTAACGGCTATCTGTTTCGGATTACCCATCCGATAGCACACTGCCTGTGTGATTGACATGCATTAAAAGCTCCTGCGGCTAGTAGGAAGAACTCTTAGTCAGACCGGTCTTTTGTTCAGAGCTTTAGCTAGTAGTGGTTGTAGAGAAAATATGAAGCTTCTGTGCCCCATACTGCAAGGTACCCGAAAGGCAGGGCACTCTCTTTTTCTTTTTAATTCCATCAGACTAATCTTTCTTTTCTTTCATTTAATTCTAGTGAACATACAAATCACTTTGCTGAAAGTATCATCACTTATTTCGATACAGCTTTATCAACAATGCTTTTATATGCTGTTGAACGATCACAATATAAACAAGTATATAATCTATTTATTTTATATTTAAAGAAAAAAAATCTTTTTTTCATATTAGTTGCAAGAAAGTCATGGACTTGGTGATAAAGCTCAACCATCTAGTGTTTATGGTATCGTACATTTATTACGATTAATGAGTATGTATATTCATATATTCATAACAGATTTTTATTGAAATAATATTTATATCTATTCTAGGTCAATTAGGTACAATATTAGCTTATTCACCATTAGAACAAACTGAAGTTGATTTTTTACTTGTTCATATTGATGATTTTAATCGGTAAAATCGAATTGTTTTAATTTTAATTATCGTAAAATTATTATGTTTGTAGATTTTTGGAAAAAAATATTAAAAGTTGGATTAATGATGATCATTATGAGAAACCGCTGGCGGTTTTAACTCAATAATGCAATAAACATGACCATATAGATACTGACTTTATTTCCGTTTCTATCTATCTATCTGTCTTTGTCATTTTGTTTTCTTTTGTCTGCATATTGTGTACAGTTATGTTGATCTAACAGATCAGAAAAAAACATAT